CTGCCTTGGAGGATGTTTACATGAAGATCCCAAAAGGATTGAGAATCAGAGTGCATAGCTTTAAGCTCATTGGCAAAAGAAGCAAGTGTGATGTGAGAACATTTTCTTTCACACAGTGAATAATTAGAGTCTGGAATACACTGTCTGGAAGTGTGGTGGAGGGAAGCTCAATTGCGGCATCCCAGAGGGCATTAGAATGCCTATTTGAATAGAACGAGCTTATAGGGAAAAGGCAGGAAAATGCCACTGAGCTATATTGGCTCTCATTCAGAAAGCTGATATGGGCACAATGGGCTGAATGGCCTCCCTCTGTATCGCATCAATTCTGTGATTCGGTGAACACTAATATGGCTCTTCATCGAAGTCACAGGTTACGGCTAGAAGACTGTGACAAAAGTAAACTGTCTCTCCCTGTTCTTGTAGACCAGTCTGCAGCCTATAACATGACTGAGAAAATCACTCTTCTCCAATACTTCTCCACCCTCATTCAATTAGGTGGGATTGCACTTGCCTGGTTCATAATTATCTGTCAAATCATAGCAAGAGAATGATTTGTAATATCTTCCTCTTCCCAACCCCCCACTACATCCTCTCTTACCTTTAAGAATTTAACTTGGTCCCTCCTGTTACTGCATATTGCTCCTCAGCAACATCAACCGAAAACAGTGTTGGCTTCCACATGTGTGCTGATGGCACAGAGCTGTATCTCACTGTAAGTTCTCTTGATTCATCCGTTGTATATTCCTTGCCAGATTATTTGCCAATGTGGATTTGCAGAAATTTCTTCCAGCTAAACAATGGGAAGACCAAAGTCACTGCCTTTGTTCCCCACAACGTACTCTTTTTTTTCTATTCATTTGTGGGATGTGGGCGTTGCTAGCTGACCAGCATTTATTGCCAATCCCTAGTTGCCCTTGAGAAGGTGATGGTGAGCTGCCTTCTTGAACTGCTGCAGTCCTACTGCTGTACGTTAACCCACAATGCTACTAGGGAGGGAATTCCAGGATTTTGATCCAGCGACAGTGAAGGAACAGCAATATATTTCCAAGTCAGGATGGTGAGTGACTTGGAGGGGAACTTGGAGGTGGTCGTGTTCCTATATGTCTGCTGCCCTTGTCTTTCTAGATGGAAGTGGTTGTAAGTTTGGAAGGTGCTGTCTGAGAATCTTTGGTGAATTTCTGCAGCGCATCTTGTAGATAGTACACACTGGTGCTACTGAGTGTCAGTGATGGAGGGAGTGGATACTTGTGGATGTAGTGCCAATCAAGCAGGCTGCTTTGTCCTGGATGGTGTCAAACTTCTTGAGTGTTGTTGGGGCTGCACTCATCCAGGCAAGTGGGGAGTATTCCATCACACTCCTGACTTGTGTCTTGTAGATGGTGGACAGGCTTTGAGGGGTCAGGAGGTGAGTTACTTGCCGCAGTATTCCTAGCTTCTGGCCTGCTCTTGTAGCCACTGTGTTTAAGTGGTGAGTTCAGTTGAGTTTCTGGTCGATGGTAACCCCCAGGATGCTGATAGCGTGGGATTCAGTGATGGTAACATCATTGAATGTCATGGGGCGGTGGTTAGATTGTCTCTTATTGGTGATGGTCATAGCCTGGCATTTGTGTAGCACGAATGTCACTTGCTACTTGTCAGCCCAAGCCTGGATATTGTCCAGATCGTGTTGCATTTGAATGCAGACTGCTTCAGTATCTGAGGAGTCACGAATGGTGCTGAACATTGTGCAATCATCAACAAACATCCCCACTTCTGACCTTATGATGGAGAGAAGGTCACTGATGAAGCAGCTGAAGATGGTTGGGCCTAGGACACTACAATGAGGAACGCCTGCAGAGGTGTTCTGGAGCTGAGATGATTGACCTCCAACAGCCACGACCATGTTCCTATGTGTCAGGTATGACTCCAACCACTGGAGAGTTTGCCCCCTGATACCCATTGATTCCAGTTTTGCTAGGGCTCCTTGATGCCGGTTGAATGCAGTCTTGATGTCAAGGGCAGTCACTCTCACCTCACCTCTGGAATTCAGCTCTTTTGTCCATGCTTGAACCAAGGCTCTAATGAGATCAGGAGCTGAGTGACCCTGGTGGCACCCAAATTGGATATCACTGAGCAGGTTATTGTTGAGCAGGTGCTGCTTGATAGCTCTGTTGATGTCACCTTCCATCACTTTACTGATGATCGAGAGTAGACTGATGGGGCCACACATCCCCAGAACATCAGCTGGGTTTCTGGATTCATAGTCTAGCAATAATACCATTAGGCCATCGCCTACCCTTTGCCTCAGCTATCTATTTCATCCCTCCCCTTAGCAACTGTCTGGAATTGAACTGGGTTCTTTGCAATCTTGTCATCGTATTTGACTCTGAGACGAGCTTTCCACCATTATGTGCACCATTACTAAGTTCACCTTTTTAAAATTGCCCAACTCTACCGTGAATGCTCATCTTCTACTGGACCCCTCACTACTTTCTTTGCCACTTCTAGATTGACCATTCTAATGCTCCTTTGGGTGACCTCCTCCCATGTTTCTACCCTCAATTTACTTGAGGTCAAACTCTACTGCCTAGGTTTTTGCTCACATCAAGTCCCCTCCTGGTCTCAATGGCCTATAGAGGTTCCTGGTCAAGTAAGGCTTCAATTTTAGAATTCTCATTCTTGTTTATTAATGCTTCATGGCTTCAACCTCCCTACCTCTGTACTCCTCCAGTCCCATGATGCCAAAAAAAATTCTGAGCTTCTCCACTTCTGTTTCTGTATATGCCTTGATTTTAATCATTCCATTATTGTTTGCTATGACTTAACTGTCAAGGCAATTAGCTCTGGACTAGCCTCCCTAATCTTCTCCAACTCTCTATCCTCCTCTCTACCTTTAAAAATGCCCCATAAAGCTACCACATTGACCAAGCTTTGGTCATCTGGCCTAATATTGCCCTATGTAACCATATGTTTGCTCTATAACAGTCCTTTGAAGCGCCTTTTTATTATGTTAAAGGCGAAGAATAAATACAAGCCCATTTCATTTGTTTCTAAAATGTTTAATTCTTCAAAATAAATAGCATACATATCTGCAGATAGTTAATTTGACGTTTTGATAATGCCAAAGCTATCTCAGAATTCACAATAAGCATTTGGTGGACATTAAGCATTTGATGTTGGCAACTGACAAAAAAAAACTCAAACTGATGTGCGTTAAGAGCTATTCCCACAATTCTTTGAATTCCAGCATGACAGTGGTTGCTGTGATTTGTTCAGTTTTCCTGAAAAAAAACTTAATTTGATACTAGTTAGTACAAATCTATTTTTCTTGTTCTGGGACATGCTCATTCAGGAACATCCTGCAAAGGTATTATAGAACTTGGTTGAGTTTTTTGAAGACGCAATGAAGAGTATTGATGAGGGCAGAGCAGTTGACGTAATCTATATGGATTTCAGTAAGGCATTCAACAAGGTTCCTTATTATAAACTGGTTGACAAGGTGACATCACATGGAATACAGGGAGAACTAGCCATTTGGATACAGAACTGGCTCGAAGGTAGAAGACAGAGGGTGGTGGTAGATGATTGCCTTTCAGACTGGAGCCCTGTGACTAATGGTGTGCCACAAGGATTCGTGCTGGATCCACTGCTTTTTGTCATTTATGTAAGTGATTTGGATGTGAACATGGGAGGTGCGGTTAGTAAGTTTGCAGAAGACTCCAAAATTGGAGGTGTAGTGGACAGTGAAGAAGGTTACCTCAGAGTACAATCAGATGGGTCAATGAGCTGCTGAGTGGCAGATGGAGTTTAATTTAGATAAATGTGAGGTGCTGCATTTTGGAAAGGAAAATCAGGGCAGGACTTATACACTTAATGGTAAGGTCTTGGGGAGTGTTGCTGAACAAAGAAACCTTGGAGTGGAGGTTCATTGTTCCTTGAAAATGCAGTCACAGGTAGACCAGGATAGTGAAGAAGGTGTGTGGTAACGCTTGCCTTTATTGGTCAGTGCATTGCGCATAGGAGTTGGGATGTCATGTTGCGGCTGTACAGGACATTGGTTAGGCCACTTTTGGAATACGGTGTGCAGTTCTGGTCTCCCTGATATAGGAAGGATGTTGTGAAACTTGAAAGGGTTCAGAAAGGATTTTCAAGGATGTTGCCAGGATTGGAGGATTTGAGCTATAGGGAGAGGTTGAATAGGCTGGGGCTATATTCCCTGGAGTGTAGGAGGCTGAGGGGCTTTATACAGGGTTATAAAATCATGAGGGGCATGGATAACGTAAATAGACAAGGTCTTTTTCCTGGGTTGGGAGAGTCAAAAACTACAGGATGTAGGTTTAAGGTGAGAGGGGAAAGATTTAAAAGGGACCTATGGGGTAACGTTTTCACACAGAGGGCGGTGTGTGTATGTAACGAGCTGCCGGTGGAAGGGGTAGAGGCTTATATGAATAGGAAGGGTTTAGAGGGATATGGACCAAATTCTGACAAATGAGACTGGATTATTCTCGGATACCTGGTCATCATGGACAAGTTAGACCGAAGGGTCTGTTTCCGTGCTGTTCTTCTCTATGACTCTAGTTTGAACACAGGCCCTGAGGAGATACATCACCTCTTCAGCAGTGCTCATATGATACTACAGCATGGGAAAAGAGATGTAATGATGTGATGTTAGGTGCACGCAATTGATTTCACCTTAAGTAGGGCCTGACTCTTTCACAGCTATGAAGAACGACTTATCAGTTAATACCTGGATGGATCTTGGCGGATATTGTTTAAACCAGTGACTAGAAACAATCTCTTTTACTAGGCATCCATCACTTCTGCTGGTTATACTCGAGGAGATAAACATGTTTTTCTAACAAACTACATGCTGTGAGAGCTAGCCTAGCAGAACCCCAATATAAAAGCATCTTTTTGATATAGTTTACAGTGAACCATTGTAATTCTTCACCAGTTAAAACTAAATACTCTATTTTTCAGGATAGAGAAAAGATTCAAGTCTACAGCTTGAAGATCAATTCCAAAATTACATCTCGATTTGCTCACAACGTGATAACGAGCCGTGTGGTAAACCGAGCAACTAAATCCAAGGAAGCCCTCTTTGAAGTTGAGCTGCCCAAAACAGCTTTCATTACCAACTTTACCATGTGTGTATCTGCTACAATTACCGAACAAACAACCAAATTAGAGTTAAAATGCACATATTCCCTTATCTAATTTTTGTTTTATACAATGAGTGAATAAGTTACTTATTTGTACCTGACCATTTTTTTGGTCTTACTATTTTTCCTCTCACAAATTTTAGTGACTTTGCCATTTATCATGCTTTTGGCTATAGTCTTCACTGCATATAATGGATGCATTTTTGTTTACACAATTTGCCCATTATATGTGGTAAAACAGTTAAAGTACCTGAATTAAGTTGTTTGAGCTCTTCACTTTCTGATTGCCTCTTGCAGCTGTTAAGAGTGCAAACTACTTATGGGAGCTGCTGAAATCTCTGACAACTGTTCACACTATTAGTGAGATCACACTATTGATAAGACCAGGAGGAGAGTATAGCTTGAGTACCATTAACAATCACACTTTCTGCTGCTGCTTCTTTTAACTCTATGCACCGTCAGAAGATGGTTAGCATTTTTAAAAAATAAACGTCAAACTGATTTGGAGATAGGAGGAACTGCAGATGCTGGACAATCCGAGATAACAAGGTGTAGAGCTGGATGAACACAGCAGGCCAAGCAGCATCATAGGAGCAGAAAGGCTGACGTTTCAGGCCTAGACCCTTCATCAGAAAAGGGGGAGGGGAAGGGAGTTCTGAAATAAATAGGGAGAGAGTGGGAGGCGGATAGAAGATGGATAGAGGAGAAGATAGGTGGAGAGGAAACAAACAGGTCGAAGAGGCGGGGATGGAGCCAGTAAAGGTGAGTGTAGGTGGGGAGTTAGGGAGGGGATAGGTCGGTCCAGGGAGGACGAACAGGTCAAGGGGGTGGGATGAGGTTAGTAGGTAGGAGATGGGGGTGCGGCTTGAGGTGGGAGGAGGGGATAGGTGGGAGGAAGAACAGGTTAGGGAGGCGGGGACGAGCTGGACTGGTTTTGGGATGCGGTGGGGGAGGGGAGATTTTGAAGCTTGTGAAATCCACATTGATACCATTGGGCTGCAGGATTCCCAAGCAGAATATGAGTTGCTGTTCCTGCAACCTTCAGGTGGCATCGTTATGGCACTGCAGGAGGCCCAGGATGGACATGTCGTCTGAGGAATGGGAGGGGGAGTTGAAATGGTTCGCGACTGGGAGGTGCAGTTGTTTATTGCGAACCGAGCGTAGGTGTTCTGCAAAGCGGTCCCCGAGCAAAGTGACCCCCGAGCAGTCCACAAACCTGAATGCCGTGGTCGACCCATTGTCTCCGCCTGCTCCTGCCCCACCGAACTGATCTCCAACTATCTGAACTCCATTTTCTCCCCCTTGGTCCAGGAACTCCCTACCGATGTCCGTGACACCACCCACGCCCTCCACCTCCTCCAGAACTTCCAATTCCCTGGTCCCCAACACCTCATCTTTACCATGGACGTCCAGTCCCTCTACACCTGCGTTCCCCATACAAATGGCCTAAAGGCCCTCCGCTTCTTCCTGTCCCGCAGGCCCGACCAGTCCCTCTCCACTGACACCCTCATCCACTTAGCCGAACTCATCCTCACCCTCAACAACTTCTCTTTCAATTCCTCCCACTTCCTACAGACAAAGGGGGTGGCCATGGGTACCCGCATGGGCCCAAGCTATGCCTGTCTCTTTGTAGGTTACGTGGAACAATCCCTCTTCCGTACCTACACTGGCCCTAAACCCTACCTCTTCCTCCGTTACATTGATGACTGTATCGGCGCCGTCTCGTGCTCCCACGAGGAGCTCGAACAGTTCATCCACTTCACCGACACCTTCCACCCCAACCTTAAGTTTATCTGGACCATCTCTAATACCTCTCTCCCCTTCCTGGACCTCTCTGTCTCCATCTCGGGCAACCACCTAGAAACCGATATTCATTTCAAGCCCACCGACTTCCACAGCTACCTAGAATACTCCTCCTCCCACCCACCTTCCTGCAAAAATGCCATCCCCTATTCCCAATTCCTTTGCCTCCGCCGCATCTGCTCCCAGGATGAGGCATTCCACTCCCGTACATCTCAGTTGTCCTCGTTTTTCAAGGACCGTAACTTCCCCCCTTCAGTGGTCGAGAACGCCCTCAACCGTGTCTCCCACGTCTCCCGCAACTCATCCCTCATACCCCATCCACACAATAAGAACCAAAAAAGAATCCCCCTCGTCCTCACGTACCACCCCACCAACCTCCTGATCCAACGCATCATCCTCCGACACTTCCGCCATCTGCAATCCGACCCCACCACCAAAGACATCTTTCCCTCCCCACCCTTATCTGCTTTCCGGAGGGACCACTGTCTCCGTGACTCCCTTGTCCGCTCCACACTCCCCTCCAGCCCCACCACACCCGGCATTTTTCTCTGCAACCGCAGGAAGTGTTACACCTGCCCCCATACCTCCTCCCAAACCCCCATCCCAGGCCCCAAGAAGACTTTCCACATCAAGCAGATTTTCACCTGCACATCTGCCAATGTGGTATACTGCATCCGCTGTACCCGGTGTGACCTCCTCTACATTGGGGAAACCAAGTGGAGGCTCGGGGACCGCTTTGTAGAACACCTACGCTCGGTTCGCAATAAACAACTGCACCTCCCAGTCACGAACCATTTCAACTCCCCCTCCCATTCCTCAGACAACATGTCCATCCTGGGCCTCCTGCAGTGCCACAACAATGCCACCCGAAGGTTGCAGGAACAGCAACTCATATTCCGCTTGGGAACCCTGCAGCCCAATGGTATCAATGTGGATTTCACAAGCTTCAAAATCTCCCCTCCCCCTACCGCATCCCAAAACCAGCCCAGCTTGTCCCCGCCTCCCTAACCTGTTCTTCCTCCCACCTATCCCCTCCTCCCACCTCAAGCCCCACCCCCATCTCCTACCTACTAACCTCATCCCGCCCCCTTGACCTGCCCGTCCTCCCTGGACTGACCTATCCCCTCCCTAACTCCCCACCTACACTCACCTTTACTGGCTCCATCCCCGCCTCTTCGACCTGTTTGTTTCCTCTCCACCTATCTTCTCCTCTATCCATCTTCTATCCGCCTCCCACTCTCTCCCTATTTATTTCAGAACCCCCTTCCCCTCCCCCTTTTCTGATGAAGGGTCTCGGCCCGAAACGTCAGCCTCTCTGCTCCTATGATGCTGCGTGGCCTGTTGTGTTCATCCAGCTCTACAACTTGTTGTCAAACTGATTTGACTTTTTGTCAATTTTGCATTGAATTGCTGTTGCTTTAAAAACTATTTGAAAGTAATACACACTGTGGCAATCTGGGAAATGCATTGCTACCTTCAGGTTTGCATAAAACATGATTTAATATTGTGCTTCAGCCATGTTTTTGATTTGGATATTAAGTGTGAGGCACTTTATTACAAGTTATTGCTCTACCACACAAATTAGCTTTCAAAAAGATTACAAAGATGGCTGCACAGATTGATTTCTGAGCAACTGTTAAGTAAGTATTAACATTTTTCAACATATTTTTGAGTAATTGAATGTTCAGACTCTTTCTAGTTTGGATTATTGAAGAATTATTTTGTTCAATAGTTCTAGCACATACATTCTCAATGCATAAACTAACTTTCCATATTTGCTTCTCATGAATTTAATTATGAATTAAATCCTCCAAAGGTTAACAACAAATCTAAAGAAACAGAACTGATTGTTATGATTTTTTTTAAAGGATTTGATTCTATTAATCGTAAACAGAAATTTAATTTTCAGTTCTTCATATTGAAACACTTCAAACATTGTGGATTAGTTTGTAGAAAATAGCCAGGCTGCAAAATTATTTTTTCTTTTGACGTTTCAGTTTAAACACAGCAAACTGTCATGAAAAATTCACCTTATTCCCTCTTTCACCATTCTCCCTCCTGCTCAGTCTATGTGGATGATCAACCAGAGATTTAACGACCAGTTGCATTCTAATTTGCTAATACACTTTCTGGTACCTTCCTCTGTAGGACCATTGATGGCGTGAAATATTTTGGAGAAGTTAAGGAAAAAGAAGCTGCTCAGCAACAGTATAAAGCTGCAGTGTCCCAGGGACAGACTGCAGGATTGGTCAAGTAAGGGCTAAATTACACTCTTAAAATTACAGATTAATTGGTAAAGAATAGTAAAATACATGAAAATAATTCATAACATGGGGATGCTGGGAGAGGTACAATGAAAACATGACTTCCCACTCTATCCCTCACCCTGGACAGTTCAGCAGTTACAAGATTTCCAAGTTGAACTATTTTCCATGCTCTATTCTCAAAGCAAAGGCAACACTCCTTGATAACAGCTATTGTTTAATTTGTTTTCTGGTGAACAAAGAGTATCTGGAAGAAAAATGGAAAAGTTCAAAGTATCAGTAAATGTTGCACCAGCCAAAAAAGTTAATTTTGAACTAACCTATGAAGAATTATTAAAACGCAAATTGGGAAAATATGAGATGATCCTCAGAGTAAAACCTATGCAGCTTGTCAACCATTTCCAGGTAAATAGTTATTTAATATTCTATAACTAAAATGTTTTAGTCCCAACTTGACATACACTTAATAAAATCACAATTAAATGCCTTCATATTTTTTGTTAAATAATTCTTTTTGTTTAGATTGATGCCCATATTTTTGAATCAAAGGGCATTGCTTTCCTCAATGTCCGTGGAACCTTTTTAACAAATGATCTGGAACAAGCTATGGTGAAGAATAGAACTGAAACCAAGGTGTGTAATTCCAAACTTGATGGGGGTATTTTTCTTTGACATTTTCCTTTATAAGAAGTTAAGAATGGCAATAACTGAAATTAAAACCAAATTGCATTTAGGCTCATATTTCCTTTAAACCTACCCTGGAGCAACAGCGAAAATGTCCTGATTGCAGTGAAACGCTGTTGGATGGAGACTTGATCATACAGTATGATGTCAATAGAGACTTGTCTGGTGGGGACATACAGGTGATTAGATGACAATTTAAAATAATTTCTACTTGTTCATGTTGTGTAACATTTCACCAATTGCCTCATAATGTTATTGCAGATTGTGAATGGCTACTTTGTTCACCATTTTGCACCTGCAAATCTACCAAGAGTACCTAAGAATGTCATCTTTGTGATAGACCGCAGCTTTTCTATGCGAGGCCTCAAATTCAGACAGGTATTGCAATTCGCCTAATCTTATAAGTGATGAGTAAATAACCGTTAAGTGTTCCATTAATTTAGAGTTTTTATTGAAAAACGTTTGGCAAACCCTATGAAACATTTCAATGTTCTCTGTAGCGCTATTTGTGTCAAAACACTTACTCCAAAATAAATATATTTGCACAGTGACTTTATTATTGCATTGATGCTAAAATTGAAAGTCTGGATTTTCAGTCAGTAGCACATTGATGGTGAGAGGGAGAGAGAGGGTCTATTATTTTTCATGCAGAATACAAGTGGGAACTCACATTCAGAATGAAAGGGCTAAACTTTAGAGTATCTAAGCTTTGGATAGACGAATGTCCGAGGTAATCCTAACTATGAACTTCAATTCAGTGATCAGTGAACGTGGACCCTTCCTGCTCCTCTGATGCTGCTTGGCCTGCTGTGTTCATCCAGCTCTACACCTTGTTATCCCATTATCATTATTGGCTTGGCAAAATCCTGGCTGAAGATTAAGTTGAGTCATATACATTTTTTGATACCGGATCACAAAGCTGGGAATGGCAATTTCTCAGCCTTAATGTTAATCTGGATCTACAGTAGAATGATATTAAAATTCTTCCATCCTCTCTCTGGTCTCTTTGTGACAGAGAGAGTGAGGAAAATCAGATTCTCAGGCATCCTAAGCTGCATTAATCAGGTTCAGATGTGTAATGTTTTACAAGTGGGGGAAACAAATTTGGAGAGAGGAATATCCTTAACCTGAGACAGTAACATAAACATTATTTCCTCATTTATAGACAAAGCTGGCTCTACTTAGAATATTAGGAGACATGAGCACACAGGATTATTTTACAATAATCAGTTTTGATTCTACCATCGAAAAGTGGAGAGATTCATTAGTTCAGGCAACACCGGAAAATGTTTTGCAAGCGAAAAGATACATCATCTACTTACAGCTTGGAGCAGGTAAGCATATTGGGCTGAACTTTAATGTTCTGCCCCCTTGGTGAGTTTGGCAGCAAAAAGGGCATCTAATTGGGTGGTTGGGAGAACCTGCCAATTAAGCATGTTGTGGGAGAACATGCCCTCCTGCCCCATTGCCAATTGGGGCCTTTAAGTGGGCAGTTAAAGTCCCATTAAGATCAATTTAGATGCAAACAAAAGTGTTCCCAATTAAAGCTATCGTAATTTTCAAATGTATTTTTTTCAAATATAATGTTTCTCAACCAAATAATGAGACTTTAAACCAAGACATCCTCTGAATGCTTGGGTGAATGTAAAAGTCCTCATTGTACTATTCAAAAAAGAGCAGAAAGTTGTGCAGGCATTTCAACCAAGATGTTTCTCTCAGGCAACAACTAGAATAGATTATTCATCTATTCATTAATTTGCTGTTTGCCACAGTCTGCTGTTTGAAAATTGGCATCGTGATTTGCCAGCAAAACGAAACAGACTGCACTACTAAACTAATCTATAGATTGTAAAATAATTTGGGACATCCCTGGTCATGTTAAGGTACGATATAAATGTAAGTACTTTCCTTATCATAATTCAAGTTCTTTGCAGCTGATCCTTAAAAGAAATCTGCCAAAAGTAATATACCAAAGCCTGAATCTGTTCAGATTGATTATTCATGAGGGCAAGAAAGTGAACAGAGACACAGCCAATTTTACTATATTAGTACCACATTTAATGATTAATAAATATAATTGAAACTCATTTACAGAAAGTAGAGTTGTTACTGTGAAAAGGTTTACTCAGTGCTCTAAACAAGCCTGTATGCCAATGTTAAAAGCATAAATAATTGAAAATGGCATTGCACTTGAAATAATGACATATATTTTAATGTTACATTTACTCAAGTAAATATAATATTAACAAATGTTGGGCAGTTTGATACATTTGAAATTTTGTGCTAGAATCAGATTTCACCACCTTCTCAAGGGCAATTGGAGATGGCCTATAATTCATATCCCTGAATGAATGAATAAATAATTCCCAACAAGATCAGTTCTGTTTTTAACTGGCTCTTACATTTTGAAAACATTATTCTCAGTTAAGTTATAAAAAGGTAAACCAGCATGTATTTCCCATCTATCACACATGAGGTATTGAGAAAAAGTTTCGCAAACAAAGGCAATCATTTAAAGCAGGAGTAAGTATCCATGACATGTGACCAATCTTGGCAGGAAAACTGAAAAAGTAAATCAAAGAGATGTATAGTGTTCAAATAGCAATTAAATGCTGACCTCATCCACTGTTTACTTAAGAACAGTTAGTCTTTTCAGCCTGAAAAGGGTACCAATCACCTTAGCAGCAAAATAAGGCATTCTATAATACAGTTTGATATGACCCTCGACTGGTTTATCATTTAATTTACAATGAGCCATTCCATGGAGGACCATTATAACATATATATTAAGATTAAAATCAATTCTTCATACCTCAGAGGTTTGTCATACTTGTTGGTCACTGTGTCACATAAAATTATGAAAAGGAATTTATGAATGTGGGGAAAGACCTGACAATCAATTTTGGTGGCATCACAAAGAAGAATTTCTCATGTGTGTTTTCCATATTCACATGCACCAGATATTCATTTTCGAATACAAGTTTATAATGCAAACTGAATATTTTTCCCTTTCATTCCAGAAACAAATATAAATGATTCTCTGCTACTGGCTGTAAGTCTTCTGGACACAGCTCTCAAACAAAAGCAACTGCCTGACAGAAGTGTCTCCATGATAATTCTTTTAACAGATGGCGATCCAAATGTAGGTTAGTTTAAGAAACATCTCCTTCCTTGATATAAAACTGCTGAAACAGGTCTGAATTATCAAATATTATAAAGCCTTTCCACCATAACATGCATTTTCTAAAGGATATATGGAAATATCTTTTAGTCATAAATTTCAAATTAATCTTACAAGGCCTGAGTAATTTTTTTATTTACAGCAAGGTTAATGTAAACCAGTAGTTGCTTAATGATTATCATATCGCTGCTGATTTGATCATAATCACATTAAATAGTGGGATGTATTTTTGCTTCTAATGATATGAGTTTCTAATCTTCGAAAGTTGCGACTACTTCGAAAATAATGAAGGGAACTCAGAGGATGACTTATGGAGTGCAGGTTCATAGTTCCTTAAAATTGGAGTCCCAGATAAACAGGATAGTGAAAAAGTATGCTTGCCTTTATTGGTCAGTGCATTGACTATAGAAGTTGGGAAGTCATGTTGCGGCTGTACAGGACATTGGTTAGTCCACTTTTGGAATACTGCATTCAATTCTAGTCTCCTGCTATAGGAATGATGTTGCAAAATTTGAGAGGATTCAGAAAAGATTTACAAGGATGTTGCCAGGATTGAAGGATGTGAACTATAGGGAGTGGCTGAAAAGTCTGGGGCTATTTTCCCTGGAGCATTGGAGGCGCGAGAGGTGACCATTTAGAAGTTTCTAAAATCATGACGGGCATGGATAGGGTGAATAGTCAAGGTCTTTTCCTCATGTTGGGGGAATTCAAAACTAGAGGGCATAGGTTTAAGGTCAGAGGGGAAAGATTTAAAAGGGACCTAAGGGGTAACTTTTTCACACAGAGAGTGGTGCATGCGTGGAATGAACTGCCAGAGGAAGTTGTGGAGGCTGGTACAATTATAACATTTAAAAGTCATCTGGATGGGTATATGAACAGGAAGGGTTTACAGGGATATGGGCCAAATCCTGGCAAATGGGACTAGATTAATTTAGGATGTCTGGTTGGCATGGACAAGTTGGACCAAAGGGTCTGTTTCCATGCTGTACAGCTTTATGACTCTCTTACTCAATGTTCCTCACTGACTTACCCTCTTGCAATTGGTTATACCATGAACTTGAGAAAATAAATTTATTTAACCTTTCTCCCCCTGCAGAAAATGGATTTATTTCTTAAGATGGTTTAAAAGCCAGAAGTAAACTATTAATTAGAAGGTATAAGAGAAAGATAAAAATAATCATTAAATAAGATAAATTTGTTCACTTATATTACAGGGGAAAAGGACCCAGTAAAAATCCAAATCAACGTTAAAAATGCCATACAGGAGAGGTATAGCTTATACTGTCTTGGCTTTGGTTTTGATGTTAATTACAGTTTCCTGGAAAAAATGGCACTGGATAATGGTGGTGTGGCTCGACGTATTTATGATGATTCTGATTCAGCCTTGCAGCTCCAGGTAAGTAGATGATTCATAAATAATCATTAATAAAGACCCATTCACAATTTAAACTAGATGTCATACAATCCCTCATTCATAATAGAATAAGAAAAGACATATTTTGCTTTTACTTTATCAGGAAGGAATTTTATGTGGTCAGTAGGAAAAATATATAAAGAAGATTAAGGGCTGGATTTTACCAAAAATTGGCCTCGGGTCAATTTTGCTGAGTTGCATGGAAGGTTTCTCTCTGTCATACCTAATGAGATTTCTCACACTACTACACCAGAGTCTGCAAGTTTGTTCTGAAGTTGCCATCCAGGTCAGTTCAATATCCATGGTCAGGAAGAACACCCGGCAATGCAGGAGCTCTGTGAGGATAAATACCACCATCTTCTACCTGCTACCTCACGGTCACCCCATCTCTGCTATTGCATTCACCTCACAGTGTTGCTCATAGTCCACCACTCTCAGTACTGCATGCACATCTTCCCCCGCTCCCTATCACTCATCCCAACCTCCCACACTACTAACCCTGTATGAATCTACAGTGCCTACCCATTCTTTTGGGACACCTCACCACTTTTTCCTGACCTGCACCAGCACTAACAGCTGCACCACTAGCTTCAATGTCACTCAATATCTCCCTTTCTCTCATTCCAAGGGAAACTGATCCACAACGGGGCAGAGAAAGACATTTGGCTCCTCACTCCCTATGAGGAGAGGATCCTGGCCCTAGCCAGTGAGGACTACAATTGCTCATGTAATGATGCCAAAACCTCCTGTTCTGAAGAAGGGTCACTGGACCCAAAACGTTAACTCTGCCTACTCTCCACAGAAGCTGTCAGACCTGCTGAGTTTTTCCAGCAATTTCAGTTTGTGTTGAAGAAATATTAACTTTTTCTTTTGCACGTATGTACTAAGAATTCACAAAAAAATAATATTTACAATTTGACTATTAGAATCTTAACGATTAATTCAAATACCTTTGGATAAAATGGCTTTTAAAAATTTCTTGAATCCTTTAGTTGCTTTGTAGGTGCCTCTCTATATTTGTTTTCTCACAGGGTTTTTATAATGAAGTAGCAAATCCCTTGCTTTTGGATGTCGAGATGCAATATCAGGAGAATGCCATTTCGGACTTAACAGAGGCCAATTTTAGACAGTTTTATGATGGATCTGAAATTGTAGTAGCTGGCAAGATATCAGACAACAGCCTTGATGTGTTCATGGTAGAAATTACAGCTAAAACTGTAAGTACCCAAACTCCTCACATATGTTCTATAACTGTGCAGTGCTTTCATCAGAAAATTGGTTTTGGAGCAAGGCCAATTTAAATTGTTGCATGATTTTAGTCCCATGTTCAAAGTACATTTTGAATAGCATCTTAAATAAAAATACGAGTTGCAGTTTATCACTGTCTGAGAAACATCTCAAAACTTCATACAGAGTTAATGTAGTAACTTCTTGCGTGGTAAATGTGGAGCTGTTTTAGCCTCACATTTTGACAATCAAAAGTGTTAAGAATAATTGAATTCTTTTTGTGGTTTTGATTGGTTTGGAGGACAGGATGGAATTAAGGTATGGTGAGTGTAAGCAGTACAGATCTCAGCAGCTCCTTTAAATTGTGCCATTAATAGCAAAACAAAACATGCATTTGTACATTTAATGTAGGAAATGGCCCAAGAATTCCACAGCAGAGTCATTGTAAAAACTGCTTAAGCATGTGGTTTGGAAACTGTGATCAAAAGCAGGATTGGTTTTGAAAATATGCTTAAAGGCAGCAAGAGAAGAAGTAACCAGAAGGAATCCGGGAATTACAGATGACAGTTCTGCTATTGAGAGTCGAAGGGGCAAAAAAGATGCTCACATGTCCAGAATTAGGCAAGTGTAGAGGAGATAGCAATGGGGAATATCATGGAGACCTATTGTCTTGAACACATGTTCTAATTTAGTGAGAAGTATTGTGAAGTAAAGCTAAGGAATTAGTTCTTGTTTTGTGTGTGAGCTTTCATCACATCTCTGTCATCGTCTTTTGATTGTATCTTTTTATTCTTGGCTTTTCCCCCTTATCCTCCCGTCCCTCAGGAGCTGATCTCCCTGTGATGTTCTTTGGAGTGTTTTCCCATCTTGCGTTCCTATATAAGTGAAGGTTCTTGTTGTTATTTTTGTTTCTTTTTCAGATGCTGATCAAATTGAAAGAAAGCTTCGCATTTTTACAGCTCTCTTTCAAATCTCAAAAGTATGCTTTGTATAGAATGAACAACTTTGAAAAGCAGTGATTGTTTTTGGATAGATAAACACAGCAGCCGTCAGATCCACAAAATTAGTTTTCCTTGGTCCCATTCACAAATGCATTTGGTTGCTGCTCCAGGCCTGAATCCATCACGGTAACTTTTTACTTCCCTTTCTTTAACTTCCTTCTGTTCTGCCTACCCCTCCTACACCCTTGTCTATTGTTGTTTTGTTGCCCTTTCATTCCCCCTTGTCAGATATACTGCCCTCCCAAATGCTATGTCAACATTTCCATACTCCTTTATCTTCCTACTCTCCTACCACTGACTGGGTCTGACTTATTCTTAGATAAGTCTTTATCTCCCCTCTGTACCTCTCTTTGACATCCTCTGAAGAGTACTACAGAAAGATAGTTAGCGTTTCTTCATTACGAAGAGCAACCCCGACAGTTGCATTCAACTGCCTCACTCATTTTTCCACCTTATTTGCTTGGAGAGGCCTAGTCTTGTCAATTGCTGCTTTCCCAACTTCCACCTTCCTTGCTGGTCCCACAGATTCTGCCAGAGAATTACCTACTGGATCCACTTTCTGCATCTCCCTTCAGAATGTTAGCTCACTTGTGAACAAGGCCCTTGCCATTCATGAGCTTGACATAAATAATTGCATTGGCACCATGGCCTTAATAGAAACCTGACTGAATGGTAATAGCATATTCCCCTTAAATGAAGCCTACATGCCTGGTCCACCTTCCATGACATGTCCCACCAGAACCTCAGTGGCGCAGAATCTTTCATCACAAGTCACATGTTAGCCAGTTCCCTTACCACCATAGCACTTTTCCTTCTATTGAACATCTCACCTTGTTCTGCTACTTTCCTCCTTCAGCATCTACACTGAGCAACTTTCCACCGTTGGTGATTTCAAACTCCACATTGCCTCATCATGCCTTCTCTCCTCTGAGTTTACTGCCCTTCTCTTTTCCTTTAATCTTTTCATCCTCATAAACTCCATAGTTTATATTCACAGTTACCCCTTGATTTTGTCACCTCATGTGGTCTTGCTACTTTTATTATATTAACTATGAATAAAGCCATTCTGAACCTCTTCAACTCTGATGAAGAATCATCTAGTCTCGAAACGTTAGCATGCTTTCTCTCCGTGGATGCTGTTTGACCCATTGTGATCTCCAGCATTTGTTGTTTTCAGTACAGATTCCAGCATCTACAGTAATATTCTCCTACAAACCATTTCTGAACACTATCTTGTATTACAATCCACCTAATTCATATTCTGCAGTGCCAATGCAATCATCTGTGGTGTATGCATCTTAACAAAGAAACTACTGCTAATTCATTTACCACTGCACTTACTAAATTCCAACAGGCTAGCCTTTGGTCCTTCTTTCAGCATAACATTTCTCCAGCTGCGAGGAAGGAGCAAGTCAGAAATCACATGACACCAGGTTATAGACCAACAGGTTTAAGTGAAATCACAAGCTTTCAGAGACTGCTCCTTTGTCAGGTGAAGTGGCCTCCACCTATCACTGTGTCATCTGCAACGATGCCCTCAGTTCTTTTGTCCAGATTGTTAATGCATAACGTGATTAATTGTGGCCCCAACACATCCCCACTGCAGAACTCCTCTAGTCACCGGCTACTATCCTGAGAATCCTGCCACTGATTCCATTCCTCCATCTGACAACTGTCTGAGGTTAAAGCAGAACTGTTTTCATCCTTGATATCATGTCTGATCCTCAGATAAACTTCAACCTCAAATTTGCTGCATCATGACCATCTATTTCACCTCTGTAACATCACCTGACTACGGTCCTGCCACAGCACTTCTGCTTCTGAAATAGTCAAACTTGCCTTAGTTAACTCAATATTTGACTATTCCAATGCACTCTTGTTGATCTTCCACATATTTTACTTTCTGTAATTTTCAGGAAGTCTAACTTGTACTGCTTATGTCCTTACACTAGCTGCTGACCACTCGTTACACCTGTGATCTCTAACCTGCTTTGCTTTCTGATTAATCATCTCTATTTTCTCAAATCTGAAAACCATCTCATCCCTCTCTGTCTCTGTGATCTTCTCCAGCACAACACTCTGATATATCTTCATTCATCCACTTCTGGCCTCTTGAGCATCACTGATTTTAAATGCTCCACCATTGATGACAGTGCCTTCAGCTGCCTAGATGCTGAGCTCCAGAATTTTCTCATGAAACCCATCCAACACTCTAATTCTGCTTTCTTATTTAAGGTTCTTCTTAAAATCTTCCTCTTGGACCAATTATATGTTCATCTGCCCTAAAATTGCCTTATTGTTACCTATGCCATAACACATGTGTGAATTGCGATGTATTGCGATATTAACAGCAGTGTATTACAGAAGGCTATTGTTAAGATATGTGACCACTTAATATGATTTCAATTACTGAGGAGATCAGTTTACTATCTTATGTGGGATACAGCAATGCCAACACTTCCTCCACCTACACCAAGTTGTCAGTCAAAATAATGTGCTCATGTTTGAAGTGGGCCTTTAGCCCTTGATTTTCTAACTCAATGGCAAGAATGCTACCAACTATTCTAAGCTGTCAGTGCATGAATAATATGATTTAATTTTGTTCAAAAGTTCCTGCATTCAGCTCGTTTTATCTCTTACAACATGCCACAGTTGATTCTGCATAAATTAGACTGTCTTCACATGAATAGTACAAATTGTTTTTATGGATTCAGATTGAAATCTGTAATGTCAGCGATTTTGATAATGTAATTCTCTTGCAGGCTAGCAGTAATTTATCTCTTGAAGAGAAAGTCAATGTGACAGAGGCAGAGAGGGTTCTGCAATATCAACAATATATTTTTGGTGATTTTACTGAGAGACTGTGGGCCTACTTGACTATTCAACAACTCCTAACTCAAAGGTAAAAAAGAATTTCTTACTCCACAAAATCGTACTATTGTTGATTAACAAGAAAAAAACAGGCTGAGCTCACGTTTGAAAAGTTTTGCATAGTTTAACATAGAAAACATAACGAGGTTTGATTGTAAAAGAATGTTAGCCGATCTAAATTAGAATAGAAATGAAGAACTACAAGTAGCACCTCAGCATTTCTGCGGCTAGGCATATAAAAAGCATATTAGATACATAAAAGGTAAGAAAGAGGGAGAGGGGATATTAGACTGCTGAAAAGTGAGTCTGAAGAAGTAGTAATGAGGAACAAAGAAATGGCGGATGAACTGAATTGGGTCTTTACATCAGTCTTCATGGTGGCAAACACAAGTAGCATTCCAAAACTTGGAAGGGAGTCGGGGCAGAGGTGAATGTATTGGCTATCACTAAGGAGAAGGTGCTGGGGAAGCTGAGAGGTCTGAAGGTGAGTAAATCATCCAAACCAGTTGGACTACACTCAGGGTTCTGAAGGAGATAATTAAGGAGGTTGGGAGACATTGATGAAGATCTTTCAGGAAGTATTAGAGTCAGGGAGGGTCTGAGAGGACTGTTAAGTGGCTAAAGTAACACCCTGTTTAAGAAGGGAGGAAGGAAAACACATGTCAGTTTGCCTGACCTCAGTCATTGGTAAGATTTTAGCATCCATTATTAAAGATGAGATTGTGAAGTACTTGAAAATGCATGGTAAAATAGGGCTATGTCAGCACAGTTTATCAAGGGAAGGTCATGCCTGCCAAATCTGTTGAATTCTTTGAGGAGGTAACACGCAAGTTAGACAAAGGAGAAGCAATGGACATGATCTAATTGGATTTCCAGAAGGCGTTTAATAAGGTACCGCACAGGAGGCTGCTAAGTAAGACAACAGCCCAAGATGTTAGGGGCAAGGTGCTGGCATAGATAGACGACTGGCTGACTGGCAGAAGGCGATGAATGGTTTTAAAGGGTCTTTTTCAGGATGGCAGCTAGTGACTAGTGGAGTTCTGCGGGTGTCAGTGTTAGGACCACAACTATTATACATTAAACATTAACGATTTGGACAGAGGAGCTGAGGGTATTGTTGTGAAGTTTGCAGATGTCACAAAGGTAGATGGAGTGACAGGTAGTGTTGAGAAGGTGGGGAGGCTACAGAAGAACTTGGACATGTTAGGAGAGTGGGCAAAGAAGTGGTAGATGAGATACAATATTGGAAAGTGTGAGGTTATGCACTTCTCTAGGAAGAATAGAGGCATAGACTATTTTCTAACCAGGGAAAGGCTTCAGAAATCTGAAGCACCAAAGGACTTACGATTCCTAGTTTAGGTTTCTCTTAAGGTTAACATGCAGATTCAGTTGACAGTTAGGAAGGCAAATACAACGTTAGCAATCATTTTGAGAAGGCTAGAATACAAGAGCAGAAACGTCCTGCTGAGCCTGTATAAAGCTCTGGTAAAATTGCATTTGGAATATTGAGAGCTGTTTTGGGCCCCGCATCTAAGGAAGGATGTGCTGACCTTGGAGGGGTCCAGATAAGAATGGGCATGAGGGGCTTGTCATATGAGGAGTGGTCTGTACTCAATGGAATTTAGAAGAATGAGGGGAATCTGATTGAAACTTACAGAATACTGAGAGGTCTGGACTGAGTGGACATAGAAGATATTTCCACTGGTACAAGAGACCAGGACCCGACGACACAGCTCAAAGTGATGGAACGATCCTTTAGAATTGAGATGGGGAAGTAATTCTTCTGTCAGAGAATGGTGAATCTATGGAATTCATTGCCACAGAAGGTTGTGGAGTCCAAATCATTAAGTGTATAGATAGACAGAGAGATAGGTAGGTTCTTGATTGTTAAGGGAATCTAGGGTTACATTGAAAGTCTTGGAGGAGGTGGAGGGCATGGGTAGTGTCCTGACTATAGGTGGGGGGATACCTGGACCAGGGGGGAAAAGACAGAGTTGAGGTAAGCGGAGATGTGTTCAGTGGGGCAGGAGCAGGCGGAGACAATGGGTCGACCGGGGCAGTCAGGTTTGTGGATTTTGTGAAGGAGATAGAAATGGGTGGTGCGGAGTTGGGGAACGATGAGGCTGGAGGCTGTAGGTGAGAGGTCTCCTGAGGTGTCTCCACCTCCTCCAACAATTTCAATTCCCAGCCACCAACACCTCATCTTCACCATGGACATCGAATCCCTGTACACCTGTATTCCCCACACAGAAGGTCTAAAAGCACTCTGCTTCTTCCTGTCCTGCGTGCCCAACCAGCCCCCCTCCACCGACATCCTCATCTGCTTAATGGAACTTGTCCTCACCTTCAACGACTTTTCCTTTAACTCCTCCCACTTCCTACAAACTGAAGGAGTGGCAATGGGCAGTTGCATGGATCCGAGCTATGCCTGCATCTTCGTAGGATAGTCCCTCCTCAGCTGTTAGACTGCCATCATCCCTCACCCCTTCCTCCGCTACATTGAAGACTGTATCGGCGCTGCCTCGTGCTCCCATGAGGAGCTTGAACAGTTCATCAACTTTACTAACACCTTTCACCCCAACCTCAAATTCACCTGGACCATCTCCAATACCTTTCTCCCCTCCAGGACCATCCCCTCCATCTCCAATAACCGTCTCAGCAACAACATCTATTTCAAACCCATCGACTTCCATAGCTACCTTGACTACATCACCTCTCATCCACTCTCCTGCAAGAATGTGATCCCATACTCCCAATTCCTCTGCCTCTGCCGCATCTGCTGCCAAGATGGAACATTCCACTCCCGCACATCCCAAATGTCCTCCTACTTCAATGATCGCAACTTCCCCCCTCTGGTGATTCATAATGTCCTCAACTGCATCTCTTGCATTTCCCGCACTTCTACCCTCAAACCCCATCACCCCAACAAAAATAAAGACAGTCCCCTGGTCCTCAAATACTACCTCACCAACCTCCGCATCCAGTGCATCATCCTCCGCCACTTTCGCCACCTGCAATCTGACCCCAGAGAGATATTTCCCTCCTGACCCCATTTCCCTTTTGTAGGGACCGCTTACTCCATGACTCCCTCATCCGCTCCACACTCCCCATCAACCCCACCATAACCGGCACCTTTCCCTGCAACCGCAAGAGGTGCTACATCTGCGCCCACACCTCCCCTCTCACCTCCGTCCAAGGCCCCAGACAAACCTTCCAAATCCGACAGGGGCTCACCTGTACATCCTCCAACCTGGTCTATTGTACCTGTTGCTCCCGATGTGGCTTCCTCTACATCGGTGAGACCAAGTACAGATTCAGATTCAGTGACCGATTCACAGAGCATGTGCGCTCTATACGCTATAATCAACAACACGTTTCAGTTGCCAACCATTTTAACTCCCCCTCCCACTCCCTTGGTGACGTGCCCATCCTGGGCCTCTTCCAGTGTCACAATGACACCGCACGCAATCTGGAGGAACAACACCAAATATTCCGCCTTGGGAGCCTACAGCCCAATGGTCTCAGCATAGAATTCACCCATTTCAATATCTCCCCACCTCCGGCCTCATCCCATGTCCAACCCACCCTGTCATCCACGCCTCTTTGACCTGACACAACCTGTCCATCTTCTTTCCCATCTATCTGCCCTACCCTTCCCATTGACCAATCCGCACTACCCCCTACCTACATCCATCTATCACCATCCAACCTACCTTGCCCCTGCTCCACCCCTCTTCCCTCAATTTATTTCACAGCTCCCTGCTCCCTCCCCAGTTCCGATGAAGGGTGTAAACCCAAAACATTGACTTTCCTGCTCCTCTGATGCTGCCTGACCTGCTGTGTTACTCCTGCTCCACACTATATTGAGGAAACAGGAATAGCTATTTCTGGGTAAGTTCTGGACTAATGATCAAGGGTTTTGAATTGAAATCTTGCCATTGTAGCTGCTAAATTCAAATTCAATAAATTAATTTTTGGAATAAAGTATTTGTGCCAATGATTGCAGCCCATTGAAGCGACACAGATGCTGACATTCAGGCCGAATAATAGAAATTTTAATAGAGTTGAGCAATCTCACAACCAGTGGATCAAATCAAAATTCTGCAGTAATGCTACATTTAAGTCATGAGTGGGGTGAACGATTGAGCAAATAAATGAAGGAGGAGACTTCATGAACATCTGCATCCCAGGATGCAGGGCAAGGGTGAAGCTAAACAATTTAAACCATCTTTAACCAGAAGTGCTGAATGAATATTGTATCTTAGCCCCTTCCTGAGATCCCCAGCATCACAGATGCCAGATTACTGCCAATGTGATTCACTTGATATGATATCAAGGAATAGCTAGAGGCAGTTAAAGGGCCTGGGTCCGAAGGACTTGTGAAGCTTTGTACTCCAGATTTGCTCAGGCCTCCAGCAAGGTTGTTCGAATACAGCTACAGCACTGGCATCTATTGGACATAAAGCAAAATTGCCCAGCCTGTCCTGTCCACAAAAAGCGGGACAAATTTAAGAATGAAGCCAAAATTGTGTAGTTGCTGGAAATCAAACAAATATAGCGAATACTGGAGAAATTCATCAGGTCTGGCAGCATCCATAGAGAGAGAAAAACAAGCTCTTCTTCTGAGGAGTCATACCAGATCTGGAACATTAACTCATCTTCTCTATGCACAGATGCTGGCACACCTGCTGAGTTTCTCCAGCATTGGCTGTGTTTCAGGTCCAGTTCAATCTGGCCACCTACTATCTTTCAGTCTTGGACAAAAAATTCAAGCCCACAGACAAGGTGAAAGTGACTGCCTTTGGTAACATGACAGTGTTTGATGTTGTAGTAAAATTGGAATCAGTAGAAATCAGGAGGAAGCTGGTTAGGGTCATACTAAACACAAAGGAAAATATTTTTGGTTGTTGGGGCTCAGTCATTTCAAACCCAGGGATATTAGTACAGGACGTCCTCAGGATAGTATCCAAGGTTGAAACATCTTCAGTTGTGAATATTATGACTATTATAACTGAGAGTTATGGATATTTCCATAGGGGATAGAAGTATTAGTTCAATTTTTGACATGATATGGATTATCCAAAGAAATATAATCCAATCAAGATTCAAATGTTCTGTCATGAATATTTAAAGAAATAATGAATGGTTTGGGGATAAAATAATACATATTTTCAGCTTAACATTCCAAATCACATGGAGTATTAGAAAGTTGGCATCAAACTTTAAAGATCATAATTAAAGCCTATTATCAGAAATGTCCTAGTGACTGGGCTAAAGGAATTCCTTGTTACTGTTTGCCTTCAGGAATGCCTGAATGAATCGACAGGATTCAAACCATTTGAACTGATATGTGGGCATGATGTGAAAGGACCCCTTAAATTAATTAAAGAAAAAATGTAATCCAAAGCTCATAGTTCACTTCTGAACTTTGTGAAATTTCTGAGAAAAATACCTTCAGAATGAAAATGCACCTGTAACATTTCAAAGGTTAATCAACAAGGTCATTGGAGAATTATGCAATTGACTTACACATATCGATGATTTGATTGTTTTGGAGGGGAATTTATTTACAATGCCGGATCAAGTTGTTTGATTGATTACAAAACAATGAATTTGGCTATAAACTTGGCAAAAAATTAATTTGCCAGGCCAAAAGTAATTTTGACAAAGCTAAATTGAATCCAGAGCAGCAAAAAAGGATTTTTGCTGGATTTTTCCAGTGTGCAAGATAAAATGAGAGATTCTGCAGTACTGACACTTAAATATATTCTATTGAAGGTTTGTTCCAAATTTAAGCATTGTATTGGTTCCCCAATAACCTCTTAAAGGAAGTCAAGAAATTCAAATGGGGAGAAGAATATTAACTGACAGCTTGAAAGCTGTACTGACTACTGCACCAGTTTTAGCAACATTGAGTTACTCTAAATGATTTAAACAGGCTGTTATGCTAACACATCAGTTTGGATGCAGGAGAAGGAGATTGGGATTGAATGGCCAGTCAGTTACTTTTCTTGCCAGCGAAACTACTTAACTGTAGAAAAAGAGTTTTGAGTTTGGTGTTAGCTTCATAATGTATTTAAATCTACATGCCCATAATCTCTGCAGAGACTTATTTATAAGGGCTGTAATCCTCTAACTTCCCCAGCAAGGTTTCATTTCAAAACTCTGAGACTGTTTCATTTGAGTTTAATGCTACAACTATGTCATTTGAATATCATTAACACAGCAGGAAGAAATAATAGCATGATAGATAGATGCCTTATTAAAAGCCAATGTTGAGGAACAGGAATGTTGTGATTCAAATGAGTGGTAGAAGTGTTATCATGGGGAATGTATCAGATAATGATGATGGACTGTTAACTGCCAGTCTTTGTTTAAATTTTAAATCAGACAGATTGACTCTGATTGATCAGTGTCTATGTGTGAGTGTACTAGAGAGTAGAAGTAAGAGGTTAAACCTTCTAGTGAATAAAACCCTGCCATACTGTTGATAACGGAGTTTTGGAGGCTTTTGTTTACTCTGAAATAATAGTGAGCTTTGTTTGCAGTTTGTTTTAAGAACTTCAGAGAGCTAACAGCTGAAGAAAGCCATCTAGTTAATGCACAAGAATTCACCTGAGAGACAAATGAGAAGAAACATTGACTATACATTACTTAATAGTCACCAATTACTCAAAACTACAGAAAGGATAACCGATATTCATGTCTTAACACAATCTATAACTCCCACAACACATAAACAGAAAGTGTTCCACAAGATTACGGTGTTTTCAGGAAACAATCCGAAGTTTTTGCCATTTTCCAACAGGTTCGCTTGTTTCGCCGAATGATAAATTAAGTGACCTTTGAAAGATACTTCCCTCAATTATCAGAGGATTCCCAATCTGACTGCCAGCTGTAAGCTCCACTCTGGCAGTTTCTCCTCCCTATCTTATCAGAGCAAATCTAAAAGGGTCTAAACACCTTGACCAGAGACCATCTTTCTTCCCACATTCCAACTAACAGCTCGCAAATTGTTAGGGGCAAATTGCTAATGACATGAGTTAACCTGCAAATCCACTTGAATTTCCAGCTGGAATTGGAATAAGATAGAGAGCTTTAACTAACTTCATAGGCAATTAGCATTTTCCATTTATTCTTATTCAAGAAAATTGTCAGATTAAACAGAAAATTACTTAAAATGCATCACCACACTCGGTTGCTGAAGCAGCAGACAGAGTTTCTGTAAAAATGCACTAAATCCGAGGCCTTATTTGGAAATGGAATGTGAGGATGATCCCGTATCGCACTGAGAAAGACAAAGCAATGGAGTTCAGTCAAGGATGTGAACAAAGCACAGGCTTCGGAGAGGAGATATGTTGGCACCTGGGAAAATAGGGAGTGCAGGGACCAAGGGATAACAGGCAACAGGCACTTTGCCATTTTTGGTGTTTTGGAATTTGAGTAATGCACTATCAACATTACTTACAATGTATAAATATCTGATGAATCTGAGTTGGAGTGTGAGCTCAGAATTTTTCTGGGGTAGACTCTCCCAAGGTTGGCTCAATAAACGATCGTTGACCTGTACCTTGAGGCTCCTGAGATTATTTCATAAAATAAACCGCCATATCACAAATAGGCCTTTAACTGCCTGAGACCTTTCATTTTCTCTCTCTTTCTTTCACTCCAAAAACTTCACGACAGAAAATAGATTCATTTGTACCTACTGCTCCTGGCTTTATTTACAGATGTGAATATTTTGCACTTTGCTCTCAATAAGTGTGAACCTGGGTCTCGGATTTTCATGGTAATCAAAGCACACAGATTTGTTGTCAGGCAGACCCATCACAGATCATATGACTGTCTTAACTAATCAATTTTTCCTTGAGTTAGAGATAGTCAAATACATAATCATCTTATAAACCCTTGCCCCTGTAATACTATGTTTGGAGATGACAATAAAATTGACATGATCTTGGTCAAATCGCCTACCCCACTAAATCCAGTCTCCCCAGTGAAGAATACAAATTGGGAAGGCTGTCCCTCTCTTTGAATTATACCCTAGCATGAGTCATTGCTTTTAGAAGAGGAGGTGTAAAGGAGAAAACAGAACAGAAAGTTGGAGGGGAGAAAAATTGATTTGTTTATTTCTTGAAATAGTTTGTAACCTGTGCAATCTGTTCCATATTCAGAATTTCAGCTGATGCTGGGGAAAAGAAAAAACTAACAGACAGGACCTTGGAACTTTCGCTGAAGTACAGTTTTGTAACACCACTAACTTCAATGGTCGTGACAAAACCTGAGGAGGACAAAATGGATATAATTGCCATGGCTGACAAACCCATTCAAAATGGTATTCAGTTTTATTTAGTTCTTTCATTTTTAAATTACTTTTTTTTGGATTTCGTTCAAACTCTGGCAAAGACATTAGTCATAGTTCGAATAGAGCAAATATTTATTGCAGAAAGTACAAAAAATGCAAAATGATCCTCAAAATTACCTTTGATGATTGCAGCTCATTCAATTAGAAGGTACAAAGTATATTCCTCATGTTGTTTTAAAGCTTCAGTCACATTAATGATAATTATTCATTCATTGGTATTGCCATAATAATTTTTAGACTTGTATCTTTGCAATATGTGTACTTCCAGGAATGAAACATTGAAACATATTAATATTGCATAGAACAGCAAACTAAAGCATTTGCAAGTACTGTATCTTCAAACAGATATATTGAGTAGATTATCCATTTAGATATCCTCCTGAGGTGCCCTGCATCACAAATGCCAGTCTTCAGCTAACTGAACTTACTCCGTGAGATATCAAGAAACAACTGAAGGCACTGGATACAGCAAAGCCTATGGTCCCTGGAAACATTTTGGGAATAGTACTAAAGACTTGTGTTCCAGAATTAGCTGTATCCCTAGCCAAGCTGTTCCATTAGTCACAACATTGGCATCTACCCAGCATGCAGAAACTTGCCCAGATATGCCTGATCTGGGAGAGATAAAGTGTCTAAAATAACATTGTTCGGGGCACAGATTCAAAAAGAAACCAAGTCTGAGTTTGTTTATCACCTGAACTGACAGGCAGCTTAAATTAAGGATGTTTGAAAAACACCTAGCCCGAAGTTTCCGTAAAGTAATTTTTGCCGGATTTTGTCCTTAGTCTGAGACTTACGCCCACCAATCTTCTACTGAACATTGGCACATTAATAGGAAACGTTTGCTTCAGTGACTTCACAGATCATTGTAATTGATTTTTCATACGTGATGATTTTTTGCAACTTCTAAAGAGTATCTTCCACTGGAAGTTTTGGCAGAGACATCTGAAGAAGGGAGTGTATGCCCAAAGGCAAAATGGTCAAGAGTTTTACTGAGACTGACCTCAATCCCTCCTGGATGGGGGTGCCATGAAAGGAGAATGAGGCTGTTGTGTTTTCATGGAGCCCAAAAGGTGTTTTGAAACACATGAAGGAGTGGAATTGGCACTGAATGGCATAACTCTCACCTCCAGGATTGCAAACCGTAAGGGGTCCAATGAGCTGAGAAAGGCAGGCAGGGTAATACACACTGGTCACTCTCCCATTGTTTCTGGCCACTAATACATTTTTACCTACTGAAAGTGTAATACTTGTATGACCAACTCATCACTTTAGGTAAGAATGATTAGGGCAAAGCAAGCAATAAAATATTGACCACATGGTAGATTATATGTTCCTATCTTAAAAATAGTTTTTTGCATGCAAAACTTTGAAACACTTTCCATTAATCTAACATTGACTGCATAAATTGTCCAATGCCATTTCAAATTCGAATCACCTAATGCACTCAATTTCATTGCAGGAGAATCTTGTTCATATTATCTGTGGGCACCGCCATCCGTTCACATATTTTTCTTTGATAAACTCAGGGAAGGTTGTCATGAAATGTGCTCGGTAGATTTAGTTCCATTTTTAATGAAATGGGAAGAATTATAAAAAAAAAATCATCTAGCATATGTATTTTCACATATGTATTGTAACTTGAAATTTGATATAATCTGACAGTTTAGAAGCAACTAAACAAAAATGTTTAGAGAATGGGCTTTTAAATGCTGATATAGATAGTAATACAAATGAATCTAAGGAGACTCACAAAACGTTTTCTTTGGTTCAGCCAAACTCCAGAAACAGCAGAATGGAGGGTATTCCACTAGAATGCAAGGTTTACTTCCACCACAAAGGACCCCTTCATCACATGATTTTCCTGTGTCAAGACATCACTCAAAGACACGAGGACATTTTCCTTCATTAAATTTTGCATCATCTGGTAAGATATTTTTTCAAATAAATGCAGTCAAGCTTGCAAATTTCTTATAAGCAATATTCATCAGAAAAGAAGACGATATAGATCTTAATCACTCTAGAGTTACAATTAGTGCCAAGTAAAGTAAAAATGAACTAGTAATATTTCAAATAATTGGATATTTTTGGTGGGGTAGAAATCATGAGCAGTATTGTGCTCATATAAATCCTTAACATGTTTATGAAGTTCCTCCATGCTATTTGAGCATAGATGATAACTCACTTATGCTGGTGCTTGAAATATATTTTAAAAATATACAATGTCAGCTGCAAATTGTTGTCTTTGTTCCTCAAAAATATAATTTAACTACAGTACTTTCTCACTATGGTGTACAATAATGTAACAAAGATGACCAAACTTGAAACTTATTCTTCAACAAACATATAATACAAGGAAACAGTAAAAAGCTTATTTTTAATAGCAACTTTATCAAAGCTGCATGTAAATATGTTAGTTAACATTGATCACTTGGTGTCCTCCAATATCCTTGCATGTCTAAAAATTATGAACGTTTTTGAAAGCCTTCTGCACTGATAGAATGTCCTTTGGAATTGTAACATGAATTACACAATCAAACTTTCCCTCACATAAACTCATCATGTTAAATGAACACCTATAAATAGAAACAAAAACAAAGTTGCCAGAAAAGCTCAGCAGGTCTGGCAGCATCACAGATGCTGCC